ATATATATTTATTGTTAAAGATTTTATTACTTTTTGGTAAAATCTGTATTTGGGGAGGAGTATTTAGAAATCAATATAATATTTGTAAGTTGTACTAATTATAACAATTATTATGTAGGAGGGACTGTTTGAAAAGAAGAAATATATGACTATTTTATGCGACATCTTGTTTCAGTGGTCGGTCCTTCATAAGAAAGGAATGATTTGCACCAAGGCTTAGCTGCAGTGTGTACAAAGCAGGCGTGTGTGTGGGTGCATTGAAAGGGTGGTGACACCCACTTCCCTACTAGCCATCCACGAATGTGAAGAAGATCAGGAGAGCAGGCTGCAACCACTGTGACAGGCATCTGGCATCCACGTCACCAATGGATGCCATCTCCTGCTGCCGTGGCATGAGGCATTGTGTCCACCGGACTGTAGAGTGTGCCACTTGCCAAGGCCTGTAGTGAAAATGAAAAAAAAAAAAAATTGGTGTCAGGTTTTATTCTTAGAAATTCAATGCCAAAATCGTACAGAATCGTGTCTGCCAAGGTTCTTTAAAAATGTTTGCTGGAGAGGAATTTGTGTACAGTGAGATCCCTGTTTTGTTTTCTCTGGAATGCTACAGGTTGCATTCAGCCTACAGTTGGTATGTCACTAAAGGTTTGTGTACCAGGTAATAATAATTATGACAACTTCAAGAGATCGTTTAGGGATAAGAAAATGTTCAGAGAATTCCAACCTAGAATTCAAGATGGAAATTTAGCTGTGCTACTTTATGGTGTGCTTGATTTAACAAATATTTTCTATTTTTATTGCATGTTGTGTTAAGTGAGGGAATTATTGCCTTCAAAAATTGGCTTTCAACTTGTGTTTTATACTTCATTATGCTGTTAAAGTTAGCTTGTACCTTCGTTATTGTCTTTTGTTCATTGTGTTCACTTGAGCTTACTCTTCTGCATGTTTATTAATTATTACTAGCAGAGCGCTTTGCAAAGCTTTACAAGAAAGATTCTTTTGGCAGACACATTCAGTGATACTCCATATTCCTCAATCTAGGATTTAAATTTGCTCATGATCAGATGGCAGGAATTGCCATGTTGTAGAAGAGGGGGGTTGAGAACTAGAGGGAACAAAAACAAGATCAGTTGTTGAATGATGTTTTTTTTAATCTTGTGAATATTGTAATTAATAATCCCTGTGATGATTTAATATATACATGTAAGAGATCATAATTAAGAGAAATGCAATAATTATGCTGCATGTCAAAATTGTCTTTGTTATACTGTAGAACTGGGGCTCCTGAAGTTCTCTTTGGAAAATGTTTTTTGCATTTCAAAGAGCTCTTAACAAGTCATTTCCTTGTTGTGTTTTAAAATCTGTGCTGGTAATGTGAAATGTATTATTTTTCTGAAGACATTATTTTTCTGGTTTAAGCCTTTAAATATTGAGCTGATGTAGCTGGCTACTTTGACTTGAAAATACTGTCTAGTGACAATCGCAACTGTATTTTGTAATGAAGAAATGAGTTCATTTTCTAGTAACTTGATAGTGAATTTATAAAGCTTTCTTGTTATTGAAAATATCTCAACTGTTGATGAATTATTTTGGTTACTTCACGATATATTCATTATTTTCAACATTAAAATCATTTTAATATTAACAGTGGTGCACATGCCATATGAAGAAACTAGCGTAATTTCTTTATATTTTGTTTAGTATGTAGGAAGTAACTTGCATTTGATATGGGTTTATTTATTTGAGTCATTGTGTGTAAGAGAGTCTGCATTTCTTTTTTGAAATCACTCTCTTTGTGAACTTCAGGACCTGCTACATTTGGTTGTGACTGTTCTACTTCTCATATATCGAGGAGTTGTCACTAACCTTTAGCTTGTGACTTACATGCAAGTTTGGACAAGTCTCTTTGACTTCTCTTTAGATAGTGGTGGGAAAAGTGTCCTGCCCACTCCATCAAATCTAGAACAGTGTAGGGTCTATGTACAAATGCCAAATTGACAAGCTTAGAGCTTAGCTCTGTTCTCTCGTACTATTTCCTTTGGTCTGCTGGCTTTGTGCTGGGCAGGTGCTGGGTGCCTCTACGCCACCAGGATGATCAGCTTAGTAAGCTCCGATTGCAGAACTTTGTTGTGATGTTGTGTGGGAACGGGTGATACTGCCAACAATGGGAAAAAGGGATTCGTTTGTGGAGAATTGCTTTGTGCAGTTGTTATATCATTACTAGGAACGTGTTGCTTTGTGGGTGTGCTATGCTTGCAGAGGCTTGTGTTGTAGATGTGTGTGTGCGTGTATGAGTGACAAGAGAGAGAGAGAGAGAAGTCTATGAGAGTTCCTGCTGTAAAATCATGTTCCTGAAGTCTCTGAATTGTTGATTGTCCTGAGGTGAAGTGGGAAGAGGTGACTCTTGCAAGGCATAGAGCCAGCCAGACTGCATCTATTCCAGAGCACTTTGGGATTTGTCTTTGTTCTCTGAAGCCTCAAGAATAGTGCCTCAGTTTGTATGCCAGGCATTAGGTGAAGATATAATTGTGGGCCTATTGTTCTTGTACTTTGCAGGATTGCTTTGTGTGTAAAATGAAATTTCATTTTTATGTGCCAGTGTGCTGCCATACTTTTGACTACATAATTTACATCTGGATAAAAAACAGTGCCATTGTTAAGAGAAACATGTTGATATTAAGCATTTCTCTAGTAATTTTCCAGATATTTCGCTCATGAAGGGCTAACATATTTCCATTTCTTGTAAGAATGTAGTAAAAATTTGTACAAGGGAAGACGTTGAATCATATTTTGACCTATGGTGCTTAACTAGTGTAGATGTATTTCCAGTCAGGCAATTTTTAAGTGGGGTGCACTCTTGTTCAACTACTGCTTTTAAGAGGCAATGCCCTTTCAATGCTTCAGAAACAAGTCGTTTGTATCTGCTTCAGTGAACTGTTTGTTCCAAAGTGCTCTGCTGGGTTTAATCCTTTCTAAATCCTGGTGCAGTGACCGAGCACAAGAGAGCTTTGTGAAATGAGATGGGAGCATTTATTTTTTTGACCATTGCGCCTTTGTTGC